GCGTGGCGGGGGCCGCACCCGCCGCACACTCCTCACGCTCACGTTCTCATAGTCCACCTCCAAGATGTGGCCGCTCTTGCTGCAGACAAAGCTGTAGAGGAGAAAGATCCCTACTCTGGTACTTAAGCTCCACTTAACCAAGGTTAAGAGGGGCTGTGTCAGCATGGTTTAGTAAAAACCCAGCTTGGTTTAGCCATTCAACTGCTTCATGGAAGGCAATTCTGATTCATGGCAATATAATTGGTCAACTAGGTCCAAGGGCAAATCTACAACCAAGTCAGAGCTTCCTACCTTATTTCCTGTCCTTTTGAAAGGTTAATTAGCAAAAGAGCTAAAGGCTCAGCATAGAGCTCAGAAGGGAACCTCTCTGCCATAGGGGACAGCCCCAGGGTAGCCAAGGCCAGCCGAGCTGATAGCTCTGCAACTGCAGAACAGTATGTGGCAGCAACAAGGGTCTGGCTTTGATGATTAAAATAAAACAAGGGGGTAAAAAGTTGTGTATCTGTCTATATGCAAGAGGCTGTGCACCACACTGCCAACAGAAAGCAAAACACAAGCCTCAGCTGGGGGAGAAATTCATTAAATATGTCAAAACATCAGTACAGAATCACAGTAGCATGGAATGGTTAGCGCTGGAGGGGACCTTAAAGCTCATCCAGTTCCAACCCCCTGGCCATGGGCAGGGACACCTTCCACTAGAGAAGGTTGCTCCAAGCCCCTGTGTCCAACCTGGCCTTGAACACTGCCAGGGATGGGGCAGCCACAGCTTCCCTGGGCAACCTGTGCCAGCGCCTCAGCACCCTCACAGGGAAGAGCTTCTGCCTAAGATCTAATCTCAGTCTCCCCTGTTTAAGTTTGAACCCATTCCCTTGTCCTCTTGCTACAGTTTCTGATGAAGAGAATGGCAAGAGGAAAACCATGTTTCTTGGGCTGTTCTCAAGCAGCCAAATCTCTTTTGGGAAGCAAAGTGTGCTGAGCAGGACAGAAGCTCTCCCAGCTCCAAGAAGGCACCTGATTTTAGAGGGAAAACACTGTGCTTATGCAGAGAATGCCAAAGCATCCCTCCCGGCCGGCCACCCCAGTGATTCCCTCAGCCCCTTACAACGTGTGATCCTCGCGCTCCCGCTCAGCTGCATGTTCCTCCTGGAAGGCCAGGCCAGTGAACTCCAGGGAATGGTACTCGCCAAGGTCGACTGGACAGGAGCGCAGTGCTCCGCTCCGCACTCGCCACAGCCTGATGTTGTCCCAGCCACAAGACACCATCCTGTCCCGGGAGAGGCTTCATGAGCACCAGGGCAGGACTCTCCCAGTAACACACCAATGCCTCAAGGTCCACCAGCTAACCGTGAGGATTGAGAACAGGAACACAGCACCACAATTCCCCCCCACCCCAGCTTTGCCAGAACCAATGCTTTTGATTTATTTCCTTTGCACCCTACCTGGTATCATCAAAAGAAGTAATCTTCAAGGCCTGGATGTCCACATCTGTGTGTGCTTTGGCCAGCATGGCCACCTCTCCACCCCGGGTCACCTGAGCAGTGTTCCACACCACCACCATCTGAAGCAAGAAAGGATGTCAGAGAGGGACTCTTCATCAGGGACTCTAGTGATAGGACAAGGGGTGATGGTTCAAACTTAAACAGAGGAAGTTCAGGTTAGGTATAAGGCAGAAGTTCTTCCCTGTGAGGGTGCTGAGGTGCTTGCACAGGTTGCCCAGAGAAGCTGTGTGCAAGGCCCGGTTGGACACAGGGGCTTCGAGCAACCTGCTCTAGTGGAAGGTGTCCCTGCCCGTGGCAGGGGGTTGGAACTGGATGAGCTTTAAGGTCCCCTCCAGCCCAAACCATTCCATGATTCTATGATTCTATACTGGCAGAGCTGCTCAAACGTGGAAACCCTTACAGCAAAAGAGCTTCTTTGTCACAGAGCTGACCAGCTGTACACATGGGAACGTCTCCAGAGCTGGGCACAAAGTACTGAAAACAGAGTTGAAGCAGGGGAAATAAAAACCTCTCACACAGAGGGTTTAGGACAGTCCAATAGCTTTATAAAGCTTCACGCAAATATGCTTCTCTGGCATCCATAATTATAGGTTCTAAATCCCAGGGCTGCCTGGCAACAGGGATCAGACTTGGAAAGAGAATCCAGAAGAGTGGGAATTCTGGCTGCTGAGGCACAAGATCTCTACCAGGGCTGAGCTGGTCTGTGAGAGCTGGAGGTAGCACAAGACTGGATGCACTGGCTCTTGTAGGACTTTGCTCTGATGAGAGGTCACCTGTTCACAGTGCCCATCATGAGAGGCAAGAGTTTCCTTTTCTCAAAGGAAAGAGGGAGATGGGGGAAGAACTGCAGGTGATTTGATGCTCTGAATTCAGAATAGTGTTAAAACCACCTCAAGAGGCTAGGGTGGGCTGAAGCATCACCCTGGGAGAGGTGCTCCTGGCCAGTTCCCCAGAACTCCCCATTCTCCCATGCTGTTTTCACCCTATGGGTCCCTCCTCCCCAGTTTCAGCTCACCTGCTCCCACCCAGCTCAGGGACCATTGCCATGTCCTGGGACAAAACAAGGGAGCACTGTTTGGTTTTCCTGCAGGCAGTACCTAGTGAGCAACAGCACAGCTAATTGCTGGTGGTGGTTAATAAGGGATCAGTGGATGAGACCAGTCCCAGTGACAAAGCAAACCCTCAGTCCCATGAAACAATTTCATTTTTGACTGCTACACGTGGACTCTGCATCATCCCCCACCTACAATGGTGTGCAGCAGCTTTAGTGCCCAGCATCCCTTCCAGCGGTGATGCCTACAAGGCTCAGGACTGAAGATTAAACCTCACATCTTGCCCTAAATGCTATAAAAAACTCAAAGGGTTTGGGACTCCAGTCAGTGCTGAATCTCTCATTTCAATTCCCACTCCTCCCCTATGTGCTTGCAAACCTTCCAGCTAAAAATGCCACACAAAACCCTCAGCCTGGAGGGCTGGAATGCCTTGGAGGCAATGGGTACAGGCAGAATTACACAGCTGCCTTCATCACCCCACCTGGGCTCCAAGCTGGGCCCACATTAGGGAGAGAAACAGCACCAGAGCTCAAACTGAGCTGATCCCTCAGGCTGCTTCCAAAAGGATTTGTTTGCTCACAGCTGAGGAACGTGTGTGTGAATGCTCACAAGCGTCAAGTAGAAGGTAGGTGTTTTCTAAGCAGGTAATGAGAAAGGGAACTCCCTCTGACTGCAGTGAAGAACACACCTAGGAAACCCCACAGCAGAGGTTTGTCTGCAAAATAACTACAGAATCTCGGCACTTGCTCATTCACAGGACAGGGAAACCTCCAAACCCAAGTTCCAGTTCTCACCGTTTTGCCGTGCACGTCCTTTCCAACACCGCACAGAACGGCTCCACTGTAGGAAAAGCTGCAAGAAGAGACCTGGTGAAATGCAGCTCTTTGTACCCCAAGTGCATCTCAGCGGGGAATAAAAGAAGACAAGTGGTGGGTATGGGGAGACAGCAAGACCTGAGGGATAAGCTCAGGAGGGAGCTGGCAGCATATCAGCTGTTCCAGGCTGGCTGCCAGCAGGACTGAAGCAGAAGCTGTAATTCACCCCTGCTTTATCACACAGGAATAGCACAGAAAAGCTGCCGTGCTGCAACAGTTCACCCACCCAAACACATCCCTGTGCTCAGGTTGAAACCCACCTCAGGGACAAGAGGGAGTGGACGTGGGTTTTGAACATGGAGAGGCAGCTTCCTGTCGGGAAGTCCCAGAGGCGTACGACGCTCCAGGGACCAGCCTGCGCGGAAGCCAGCAAGGTGCTGCTCCCATTGAAGGCCAGTGCTGACACCTGTGGAAAGCACCAAGACAGAGCTGGGGCTGAGGGTACATCTGGGGTACCAGGACAGTGCTGCCATGGGGCTTTGTAAGGAGTTACCTTATCCGTGTGCCCAATGAAGAACCTCTGCTTCCTGGAGTGGATCTGCAGGGCCACAATGACCGCGTGGCAGGGGTAGACCACTGCAGTGTTGTTCTGAGCCCACAGTGCCTGCAGGACCCAGACAGGAATGAGAGGACTGCAGATCCTCCAGAGGACCCCCAGGTCCTCAGCTGGACCTGCAGGGATTTCTTCCCTGGGAGATCTACACATGTGCATATCCCATACGAGCATTATTCTAACTCATGATGGAAAACTAAGAGCCCAGCTAAAATCCTACTTCATTCAATGGATTTACTGTACAATCACATCTATTACGTGAACAGCAGATATAAGGAAAATGATGTCAGCACAGCCTTGAATGGACCAAACCAAAATGGACTTTTCTTTACCCAAACACAGACTGCAAAAGCTGGGCTCCTGCAAGGCACAGCACCCCATGGTAACAATATGAACCCTTTCCAGACTCCTACAAAGCATCTCTATTTTAACATGTTAAAACACAGAAGTCATGAGATCTAAAAGGCCCTATCATTTCTAATTCACCATCATAGCAGCAGGAGACTCATGCACAAACATAAGCTTGTGGCCGTCTGCTTTGGGGTCATTTTCCCCATCGAGCAGCACAGGGAGGGCAGCACTCAACTGCCTTTCATACTTCCAAAAAGTCGATACCCTGGGCATGGGATTACAGATCAGCTTCCCAAACCATCCAAACTACTGACCCACTTGGTGCTGCAGCCTCCGAAGCCAATAATCATTCTCAGTTTCAGGATGGGATCGGGTAAGAGCCTCTGGAATTAAAAGAAACAGAGCTGTTGCACTTAGAGCTGGACTGAGGTCCTCCACCCTCCATCCCCATCACCAGTTTCTCTCTAAAGCACAGGGGTTCTCTCCTGCTAGAGGGAATGGCTTTACAGTATTTTACCTGGCAGAAGCCAAACCTGTCACCAAGAGCTGGGATTTCCAGTGTTAAGCAGCTCTCCCACCCAGGCTGGGTTACAGCCAGACCCTGCAGTGTCCCAGTGATGCCCAGAGCCAGTGCTGTGGGAAGCACCAGTCTCTTACCCTGTGGGCAGCAGCTCTCCTGCTGGGCAGCACACCTGGTCCACGGCCCTTCCTGTATGTGCTCTGGGCAAATCAATAAACACACATTATTAGCTCAAGACCAGTGCACTTGAACACAGGGTACCTCCTTCAAGGTGAGCAAGTGGAAAGGAGAAAAATAATGCCAAGAAAAGGGATTAACTGAAACTCCAGCCAAAAGCTTGTGTTCCCTGCTTCACCCACCTGTTCTGAGCCAGCATGGACAGCTCGGGTAGCTCGTTTGCTCCTCCGGTAAGCATACACGTGGATGCCACCGTCGCTGACTGTTGGAGACTGGCCAGTGTCTCCCACACTGTGCGACTTCTGGTTCTGCTCTAGCTCCTGGGCCCCAGCTGGCACAGCTCTCAGAGGCCTGGAGGCTGTCAGGTGAACCTCGGGGATGCTTTTTGGAATGACAGGACAGCGGTGTGGCATCTGAGAAAGAGCAAAGCCTCAGAGTGAGATCAGCCCTCCTCGAGTACCTTCCACCCACTACAAAGGCAGAGACAGGGACACCCACGTCTCTCCCAAACAACTCTTCACAGCAATACACAAAGCAGCATGGAGGGAGAGTATCCCTTTGGGTACCCAGCTTGGCCAGGTACGTTAACCAGCCACTCTCCCTGTACTCCCAGTGTTGTCCATACACAGTTCATCTCCTCCAGACAGCAAACCAGAGCCACAGGAGAGATCCAGTCCTGAAGAGATTCTGGAAGAGCTGCTCTCCACTGAGCAAAGGAGGCTAAAAGCACCAGCTCGGCACATCCCAGTTCAGAACAGCAATATGGTCACACTTCTCATTTCTCCCTCTCCACAGTGTGAGAAGGATGGCTTCTCCCCATCCCTCTCCAAAAGCCCATCACCACACTCTCTGGCCAGCCCGCTGAGCACCAGCTCATGGGAAATCAGGGGTGAGGGCAGCTGTTGTGGTCCCAGCAATCCAGACTCCACACATTGTTCTGCCCCAAAGGACACCTGATTGGGTTATTTAGTCCCCAGCCCTCATTTATTATCTATAATTTGAAGACACAACAATTTGCTGCCTCAGCTGAGATGGGGAGGAGGTGTCTGGAGATTGTGAGGTGCTTGGCACTGAGCTTGACTCTGCTCTGTGCTGGGCCACACTGAGCCACCCCATCAGTAACTGCGGGGCTGCAGTCAACAGTCTGTGCCCAGATCGGGGTCAGATCAGCCACAAACAACAACAAGCAGCTTCTTAAGTAAAGGACCTCAAAGAGAAGATGTGGGGAAAAACACAGGAGGCAGAAGGGAAGAAGCTGCAGCCTCCTCCATGGGGCACTTACAGCTTTGGGACTGGTTATCTGCTGGATGAGGGACAGTCGGTCACGGACTGCACTGGTGAGCACCACTGCCTGCTGCTGTACGGGCTCCTCTGGGGCTTGGCCACCTGCATGACACAAGAAGGAGGTTGGGCTCCCTGGGAAACCCAAAGCATCCAACCCTGGCTGCCATCCCCAGCATTCGAACCTGCCACAGGGCTGGGACAGCTCTTCTGGATGGAGTCGTTCGGCAGCTTGGACCCCTTGGATGGGAACCTGAGCAAATCAGAGGAAGACAGCATATCACTGGGATATTGCACTGGCACCGAGGAATACCACTTGGTAACTCATGGCCTGATACAGAAGCCTCTTCATGTGTCCTGTAAGATTTCCCCGCTTTGCCCCATCCTCCCCTAAATAAAGCATCTCCTGGGTCAGATCTACAGCATCACTTTCTAAGCGTTAACTTGGCACTGCATGCTCTAGGTAATGGTGCAAAGCTGATGACTGTGATGAGCTGCAGTTTATGACCAAGAGGGTTCTCTGGCAAAAAGGTCATAGAATCATGGAATGGTTTAGCCAGGAACACCTTCCACTAGATTGGGTGGAAAGGGACCTTAAAGCTCATCCAGTTCCAACCCCCTGCCATGGGCAGGGACACCTTCCACTAGAGCAGGTTGCGCCAAGTCCCTGACTCCA